AGAGAGGGCCCAGAGGTGCCTCCCAAAGTCTGAGGGAGGAATCCCACCAAAAAGACACCGATGAGCCAAGAACAGACTCCAACTCTTTGTTTTACCCTCGGCTCCCGCCCCACGACCAGAAACAGTCCCCAGGACCAGCATGACCCAAGAGGGGTTTTCCAGTGTTGAATGGCAAACACAATTAAGGCACATTTAATAAGCTGTGGAGGTTTGGAAGTCACCGAATTCATGGAGCAGCTCTGCCAGGAGGAGGAAAGGCTGGAGAACTGGGATTGTTCAGCCTGGAGAAGAGAAGCTTCGGGGTGACCTGATTGGGGCCTTCCAGGACCTGAAGGGGCTGACAAGGAACATGGAGAGAGACTTTGGACAAGGGCCTGGAGTGCCAGGACACAGGGAATGGCTTCAAACTGACAGAGAGTGGGTTTAGATGGGATATTGGGAAGGAATTCCTCCCTGTGAGGGTGGGGAGGGGCTGGGATGGAATTCCCAGAGAAGCTGCGGCTGCCTCATCTCTGGAAGTGCCCAAGGCCAGGTTGGAGCAACCTGGGAGAGTGGAAAGTGTCCCTGCCCATGACAGGGGGTGGAACTGGATGGTTTTTAAGGTCCCTTCCAACCCGAACCATTCCATGATTCCAGGAAACCACGAGCAAGAAACAGCAGCAGCTCCTGCCCCACGAGGCTTTTCCCTCTTCCTCTCTCTCATTAATGAGACTCCCACCAGGACAACCAGCCCAGTAACTCACTTTTTCCTGCCCCATTTCACTCCTGGGGATTAAAAAACCCCCTCTCCAGCCTCTCTGAGTCCCTCAGAGGCTCAGCAGCCCGTGCTGGTCACACCACACGGGTCAGTCGAGCCTGGAAGGGCGAAGCTCCTGCCAGCACCGGAATAACTAAACCACCTCCCTCCTCCAGAGGAGGGGAAGCTTCATTCACAAGCACTGGCAGGGAAAGACGCTCAAAAAAGAAGAGGATCTGCACATTCATCTGAAATAAGTGATAGTCCATATTGTCTGGGCAGCCTGAAGTGGCTGATCCTGCTGGAAGTGGCAGATTCCACCCCCGTGGGCTGGGAAAAGGATGTAGGAACTCTGAGGAGCATCAGAGAGAGGAGCTGGACTTCTCCAGGAGGAGAAAATAGCTCTATTTTATCTCTAACAACTCTAGTCCAGCAACAAATGGGCACTAAACTGACAGAGAGGAGGTTTAGGTGGGATATTGGGAGGAAATTATCGACTGTGAGGGTGGGGAGACACTGGGATGGAATTCCCAGAGAAGCTGTGGCTGCCCCATCCCTGGAAGTGCCCAAGGCCAGGTTGGAGCAAACTGGGAGAGTGGAAGGTGTCCCTGCTCATGGAACTGGATGGAACCAGCCTGGGATTCCCTGATTCTCTGAAATAAGGAGTGTCTGAGTGCACAGTGAGAAGGGGGGTGATCCTGAGCTTCAGCACCCGGAGAGCAGCAGGAAGCAGGATGAGGCTCCCAGGCACTCTCCAGGGGGATTTGGTCACCTGTAGCTCCATCCAGGGAGCCTCCTCAGGAACAGCAGCAGATGAGACTGGTGACAAAGCCACAACACAGGTCCAAAGCCTACCTGGGACAAGGATCACCCTGGACGTTGCCCCTTTATTTCAAACATGGTCCAGAACCTCCCCGTGCTTTGCTGAGCTCTGATCACCTTCTTTCTGCCTCTGGAAAGGTCTCACCACCCTCCTGGGTCCCCCACTGGTGCTCCCAGCCCTTCCAAGATGCCTGAGCTGTTGTGTCAGCACGAGGAGAACCGGGACACCTGGAACTAATATGGCCTGTGCAGAACCCAGGGCAGGGGGCCAGTGGAAGGTCCCACAGCCCCCACAGCAGCCCTTGGAGGGCTGGTGAAGACAAATCATGTCCAACCAGTGGGAAGAGCTCCGTCCCAGTCTTTGCCACCCTCCCCAGCACGATCCTGACAGCTGGGGGTGGAAATGCTGCCAGAGCTCCCTCTCCCCACCATCACCCTGCTCCAAGATATTCCCCAGCCCGTGTGGTGTCGTAATCCCACACCCAGGAGGGTCGTTAAAACCTCGCAGGAAACGTTGCACATTTTTTCCTTTGCTGCTCATGCCCTTTTTCTATCGGAGACAATAAAGATTTCCAGCGCTGGGTTAAAGCTCCTTTTGCAACAATGAGCTCCTCTTGCTCCAGGAGCCAGCAGGAGCCCAGACATTGAGGAAACTGGGAATAATTCACTGGAATTGTACTGGAAAAAAAAAAAAGGCTGTTTTGACCACGAGAGATGCAAACTGTGATGGTTAAGCCATCATGGCTTGCTGGGAATTATTATTGGGATTGTCATTAATGTTCGGACCAGGCAGGTTTTCCCAGTAAAAGGGCTTTGGCTGTGGCCTCCCTTTTTTTGGATTTTGCTCCTAAAAAACACCTCCCAGAGCCATAATGACAATAACACAGATTCCCTGCCTGCCCTCCCCTCGGCACCGAAGTCACTTCCCAAAACTCTCTCCGGGATGGCAAAGCTTAAAAACAAAAGCTTTTCCAAGCAGACTGGCACTTCTTTTCCCCCTAAATGATGTGTACAATCGATCCCTGTGGTCAAACCTCCTGATTCTGCAATCCAGGGGTCTCCAGGAGGAGTGTAAACAGGAATTGGCTCCTTGCAGCCGGGACTGGAAGTGCTCGGGGCTCTGAGATCACACGTGTAGGTGGGCAGACAGCACGTCCACGCTTTAATAGCCTTTGGGACCTCTCTTAGGGAGCATTGACTCGGGTTTGAACGTGTCCCAAGGCTTATTAACTCCCAAGGAACATCTGGCACTGACCCCTGGACAGGCAGAACCCAGAGCTGAGGGAATCTCCAGCCCCAGCTGGGTCCAGCAGCCCCACAGAGACGCACGTCCTGGGCAGGAATAATGACATTTCTGTGCCACAGACACAGGGACTGCCCACAGGAGGGTTTGTTGGCCTCAAACTGGCCACCAGCTGGCACAGACCTCCAGCCCTGGGACATCCAGCTTGGAAAACAGACCCAGTATGGTTCCTTTCAGCCAGGAGCATCCCCAAGATCTTGATGATATTCCCACCTAACACCCCCAGAACACTGACACCTCTGAGACAGAGAATGCAGCCAAACCCACAACACAGGGCAGGCAAAAAGGGGAATATTTGGCTTGGGGCTCCAGGGAAAACCTCGTGTTTTTATGGATAGCCAAGGAATGGGGCCTCCATCCACGGGAGACAGAGCTGGGCTTTCTGTGGGCGCATCCCAAGGAGCCACAGGGAGACTCTGGGCTCCACAGCCCACGTGTGAAGTGGTGAGATGCCTTCCCCAGCAGCTCAGGCAGGCCACAGAGCCTCCCTTTCTCTGGGAATCTCGAGGGAACGCCGGCAGGTTTTCCATGCCATGGGTTATATTAAGCAAACCTGCTCAGGGCTCCCGAACACACACAGCAAAAAAGCCACAGCCTTTAAATAAGTGTTGATTCGAGATTAATGACAGTTCTCTGGGCACTTCCTCTCACTGGCTGAAACAGGGGCTGTTTTTCCCCTCCCAGTTGCCCTCTCCCTAGTAATTAGCTCCACTGCTGACATGAAAAAAAAACCCAAAAAGAAGATATCCAGGGGGATTTTAACAGCTGGAATTAAGCAAAACCAGCCCTGAGCAATCAGGTCTTTTCAGGACAACGGTGATCAAAGAGGTGCTCTGTAAAAATGAGCTTGGCAGCCAGCTGTTGGCAGGAGACATGAAGCTTTTTTCCCTGCTGGAAATTAGATTTAACTTGTACAAAGAGGAAGAAAGGATCGATCACTCTGTGAATAATCCCCCTTTCTCCAAACTCAGCTCTTCCAATGGGACAAAGAAAGGGGGGAGAAGAAATCCATGACCAAGTGTGATACTCTCTGTCTCATCTCAGGAAGAGGCTGCACTCTTAAATTAAGTTTTAATACGAGTCATTTAACACTTGTGTGAGGAAATATGTCTTTTTCTTGTACAAGGGAAACGGGGGGGAAAAGCCTTTGTGAATGACAATGAAAATTCTCCAGGGTTTCTTCAGCTGCTGTAGAATCAGGGGATTCACAGAGGGCACAAAGAACAGAGGGATAAAGGAAGCACCAGCAGATTGTCAAGGTTGTTCTCTAAAGTGCTCTCGTAATCCAGATGTAAAATGAAGATCCTGAATAAGAAAATGGGTTTCTTATCATAACAGAGTCTTAGCATTCCATCAAAACCTTCCCTTCTCTTATGGGAGTGGGAGAGCAGAGCTTTGCCTCAACCTTTTTTTTGCTTATCCCCTCCTAAAACTGATCTTAGACCTCAAGGAAACAAGACTAAACCTTCTTCCTGGAGACTGCCTTGACTGCCCTCATGAACAATTCCCAAAAAAACTTGACCACAAAAGGCTTCCAGCTCCTCCAGGACCTCCGTGTCCCCCTCCCAGGGTTTGCCTGAGGCATTCCAGAGGCTTTCTGTCCGGGATAACTGGGGCTGGCACGGGGATGAACAGACAGGGATGTTCCCAGGGCCCACATCTGGGGGTGGGGAGGGACAGGGACCCTCCTCAGGAGCAGGAGGGACCTTCTCCAACAAGGAGATGAATTTTCAAGCAGAAATCAGAGCCCTTTTGGGGAACAGCATTGAACACCCAGCTCTTCTCATGCCAAGGGTCTCCCCACTCAGATCTGAGCTGCAGCTCCCACGGCGCTGAGAGAAGGTTATTGAGGGGGGGCAAGTCAAAACAATTAATTAAAGGGGTTAAATTAAACAGCTGCACTTGCAGAACTGCTCCTCTCACCAACCTCATGGCTTGTGGAAGCCCCTGGCTCCCAAACCCCCCCCGTTCTCCTGACCCTCAGCTCATCTTATCGCCCGTCTCTCCTCACCCACATGTGTTATTTTCTAAGCTTTGAGACATTACAGATCACTGACTGCCTGTCCAAAAATGGTGCTTCTTTGCACATCACTTATGAACTCAGAGGAAAATTCAGCATCATCCAGGCTGAGGGTTTGTTTTTTGGGGATATTTTATTTATTTTTATTTTTTAATCGCCCCCAGAGAAATGGAAAAACGGCGTGTACAGGCTCACAAGGGGTGGGAAGCCCTCCAGAACGATGGGGGCTGGAGACTAATCCAAACCTCTGGAGTTTTCAAGAAAATATCAGCCCCAGAGATCTCACAGGAGGAACGAACTGGCTCTGGAGAGTTCTGGCAAACCCTCCTCCCGACCCCACCCGCCCAAAGCTGAAAAACAGCCACGAGAGCAAAGCTGCTGGTTTTTCCCGATATTTTTCAGGATCGTGGCCTGTGCAAAAAGGCCTAAAGTCAGCCCTTGATTCACCTGAACTGCTCTTCCCACCCAAAGGTTGTGAGGGTACAACTCGAGCCCGGTGGTGATGAAGTCATTTTAATCCCCCCATGGAAATGAGGAGTTTGAGCCTCTGCATTTTTTTTTTAATTTTTTTTTTTGGAATGTTCCTTCCACAAAGCCCAATTTTGGCCAGCACAGCACGGCAGGATCTTCCATCAACCTTCCCCCTCCAGCCAGGGCACGTCGGGCGCGAGCGGTTCCCGGAGACCAGAAAACACCCCCTCGGGAGGGTGGAATCCAAACTCCAGCTGCCTCTGTGCCTCCTGGACACCTTCTCAGCCCTTTTGAAGGCCTCCTGCACAAGCCATTCCGCCCCTGCGACGCTTCTTCCAGGAAAAGCGCAGGCAATTCCAGGAACCCCAGGCCTCAGGTGGATAAACGGGGACGGCAAAGGCCAAGGCGGAGATGCCGAGGCAGCAGAAGAAGGGCCAAGGCTTCCCGAGGAAAATCAAACCTCAAGGCACGGTTTGGAGAGGGGGAGAACTTCTCTGGAAAGGGCAAGGAACATCATGCCTAACCCTGCACACACTCAGCAGAATCTGATCTCAGCGGCCTGAGATCATTCCCTGGCTCCGGGAGTCGCTCCCGACGCAGCGGGAGGAGAAGTTGTTTCTGGAGGGATCCAAGTTCCACTTCTGAATCTCCTCGTGAAACGGGAGCTTTGGCCATTCAGAGCTGCAGGTGCCCCTTCCATTGCTTTGCTTTCTTCCTCTTTCTGTTTTTTTTTGGTTTTGTTTGTTTTTTCCCCCCCAGCTGAGGTTCGTGGTGGCCTCTGGTGGGATAGGGAACAAACGGGATTAAAAAAAGGACAAAACGTGCAGGTTTCTACAAAGTTGATCAGGCCTTCAGCTATTTATGGCTGAATTAGTGGGAATTTGTTCAGAATTATATGTCAAAGGGTTATTCCTTCACCCTTCACCCCACCCTGAGGGCGAGCCATCGGTTCAGAGCGATTGCAGCACCACGAGTCATCCTACAAATTAAAAACTCCACCAACACACAGTTTTTATGGGGCAATTTCGATGTTTCCTGCTGGTCATCAAGTCATTGAGTCCACAGGAACAACATCCCCGGGTTTGTCGCAGCCTTTTGGCCCCATCAGGCAAGGAGGAGGATGAAGGATTTCACTGGTGTTGGTTTGAGCCCCAAGGGAACAGCTCAGGATCACTCTGGGATAACAGGGGCCCCTCTGGGATCGTGGGGACCACTCTGGGACCACAGGGACCCCCCTGGGATCATGGGGACCTCTTTGGGATCACAGGGATCACTCTGGGATCACAGGGCCCCTCTGGGATCACAGGAATCACTCTGGGATCACGGGACCCCTCTGGGATCATGGGGACCACTCTGGGACCACAGGGATAACTCTGTGATCATGGGACCCCCCTGGGATAACAGGGATCACTCTGGGACCACAGGGATCACTCTGGGATCATGGGGACCCCTCTGGGATCATAGGGATCCCTCTGGGACCACAGGAATCACTCTGGGATCATGGGGACCCCTTTGGGATCACAGGGAACACTC